TATATATATATATATATATATATATATATATATATATATATATATATATATATATATATATGTTCTGAAGTCTTTTGCATACACTTTGTCGCGAATATTGAATCCACGTTTTGGTTGCGGGCAGTTTAGGGAGCATCAATTCGTAGTTCGTCCTTATTTCCTCCCCAACAAGCATTCACTGGGTGATACAACGTTTGGCACGTTTCGATTTGAAGTGATGAAGTGAGATATCCTCATTTTGCCTTGTGGACCGATGTTTCGGTCCTTCAGATGAAAAAACGTAATTGATGTCTTTGGTGCTTGAATGACAAAATTCGTTCACAGGGATATCCCAAAGTCCCAATTGGTTGATCCACTGAATGCCAACTGAATTACGTGAACGGTCATTGGCAACATAAGGCGTGGAGGTAAAGTTCGCGCCACGAAAATTGTATATACATTTGACTATTCCAGCAATAACCATTTGTTTGTCCGAAGCGCTATAGGCTGAAATTTTTGTTTATTAGAGAGCTGAATAGCCTGGGGCTTCCCATGAATGGCGTGTTAAAATAGTTATGTCTGACGCAGAGTCAAACTGAAAAATGAGCGGGACACTGTTAACATCAATAGACAAAAAGTTTCATCTAGAGGGAAATTCTGTAGTGGTAGAGTGAACGATACCTGAGTTATACAATAACTCTGAATGACTCACTGAATATTTAGGACGTGATCTATTTTGCCGGAACGATGACTGTTTGTAGTGATAACAGTTTGTTTGTTTGTGTCCTTTTTTACCACAAACATGACAAATTCGGTCGGCATATGGACAGTATTTCACAAACTGCCAGCCACCACATTTCTAGCATGCTGTAGGCAGTATAGCCTTGGGGTTGATTGATGCAGTACAAGCTTTCGGTTTGTTCGGAGAAACTTGTAAGTGATTCACGTTATTGTATTCCGGACCTTTTGCTATCAATGCGGAGTCCATTTTTATGTTTTTGATCTGTTGACATTCTTCGGTTATGCTGTACAGAGTGAGGTCCGGGAAATTTTCAATTTGCGACAGTAAACGATTGCGAAATTCTGCATCGGCCGATGACCGTAATCCGCTGACGAATGGCAAACATTTGAACTGGTCCATTGAGAGGTCTTTCAGTTTGAACCGCTCAGCCCCCAGGTTGATTCTCCCTGCATAAGTCACAAAATCTTCTGACTGTGTCTTCTTGACTTGAAGGCATTGATAGCATGTATGAAATAATGAAGCACGAGCATTTAATATTTGGGTAAGGCACTTCGCTGTTTCTGAAAACGGTATGTCCGTTGGTTTACGAGGTAAGATATAGTTGGTATATCGTTGGTGTTCAACGGGGCCAAGTTTGCGCATCAGCAGCCTTACTTTGTCAGTGTCTTCCCACAGAGCACAATCCACGGTGAATATATCCCCAAATCTCGCGTACCATGATTCGAACGTCAATTCTGCATCTGCGTCATCTGTCAATTCTGTAATCGCATTGGCGAGGTTGTCACTGGTTAGACCTACATTTCTTGATTGAAGCGATGGAAATTGTTCCATCTTTGTGGCCAACGCATCGATGAACCTGTTTTGTGTATGAAGCATTTGCATGAATAATTTAATTTGGTCTGACATGATTTTGTTTTGAGTTGAACGCGTGGGTTTGTTTCCGTCGCCAATTGTTACGTTCCCGGAACGCCCAGAGCGAGAGGAAGAACAAAGGCCATCCGACCGTCAGATCCGTGTATGTTCGAATGAATGCGTCAGGCACTATACCACACGACAAGAGCGACAATCATAACATCATAAAAGTTCAAAGTCAATGACGCTGTCTGTTCACCTACTGACTATTGGCACCTTTAACTAAAAGAAGTAAAAAGCATCATTTCAACATATCGCCATTGCACAGATAATCAAACAAGGTTTTTCCTACGCTCCAAGCTCATACAGTTTTCCGAACAATTACATGCTATTGGTAATGGTGTTTCAACAACAACAACAACAACCGGATGCAATCGAGAGACAGAGAGGTTAAGTGTGAATAAAAAGGGAATCAGACAGCATTCACCTCAGGTAGCGGATTCGAAAGTATGGGAATATCCATTTTCTTGCATTGTTGAATCAAACTTTTATACAGCGGTTTTGTCGGGGTGCGTGGATAGAGGACAGTGGGATTGTAACCCTGGAACGGAATGATGTAATTGGTGTCAGTACGTTGAAGAAGATTCTGATGAAGCGTAAAGTAGGACGTTTTACATAACGGTTGCATGTGTAGTCCGATAATTCACCCACACAAATTCAACTACTGATGAGTAGGAGAAATTGTGTGGGAGAAATCAACCGAAGTATAACGATACACATGTCAATAAATCAGCCAGTGTATCAATTTCTTTTGGTTCAGCTACAAAAAAACAGACAGAGTACTGACGAAAAAACTTTAGTGTGCCCGTTCCGTAATTTTAGTCACTCACTACAATCCCATGTAACTGCATATACAAGAAAGAAATCAAATATGCACTATTTGTAGTATTATACCTACTTTGGTACTCTGGTCTGCTTTTATCAAATCGCTAAATTACTATCCAATCACTGAATATCTTCACAGGACTGAAATCCATGTGAGGTAAAAAGTTTACCCCAAGAGAACAAAAGCAAAATGAACCATTACGACAGAGGTGGGTTTACATTTGAAGACCTGGTGAAGAGGAAACGTGGGACCTGCCATACCGAACCCCAATATAGTTGTCTAACACCCATTTCTCATGTGACCTCAATGATAATCGGTAAATATTGACATCGCAAAGAAGCTTTCATGAAATTCTGAACGGACTAACTTTTCTGTGGGTTGTACACAAATCTGCAAAATGATGAACGATCAACATTCGAATACAATCTAAACGAACTGATTGTGCGATGCGCTCAGCGCAACTTATGCTTGACAAAACACGTTTCTTTTGTCAATTTATCGAGATATTTCTTCAAAGTACCGTATCAAACGGTAGGGGACTCACTTTTTAAATCCTTAAAACAGAAAACAGAGAAAAAGCTACATGGTCGATAAGAAAACACGTTTTGAAAGGTCCTTGCGGAAAGATTGTTTGATCAACTAGGACTGGATGACCAGTAAAACAATGTCGGGATGAGGGAAGAAAAGAAAAACTGAGAGACGGGTGTTTGAAGATACCAGAACGCAACTTACGAATAGCTTCAGATGGCGTGCACAGACTAGGCCATCACCACCGTTATTACCCGGACCACAGCAGACCAGAACTGAACCGTTCCCGACGGACAATTTCTCACGCGGATAAGCCTGTGAATTATCAAAGAATAACACGGTCCAAATAATTTTTCTAGGTTGGACCGTTTTTTAAAAACTCCTTGAAATGTAAACGAGGATATTGTGGAGAAATTTACGTCGGCAGTGCAAATGTAAGTATGAATTGACATAATTGTGTCGGATTAGCGTACCTGATGAATGGCAAAATCCATGGAGCCGGGCAGATACTGCTATAAACATTTTTTATATTTCACATTTGTTTGAAGCCAGGCTGTGCCAAACAAATGAAAAGTTCCCTGATTTGTCTGTGGTTAGAATACTGCCGAGTCGCACAGGACAAAACAGGTGAATATTCTTGGGGAATTTACTACCGGAATCTTCGGCTAGTCAAAGCGGGGTGGNNNGGAGTCCAGTCCAACGGATCATACGCCCTTTGGACGGGGTCAAACGTTCAGGGTAGTCAATAAACCTCGATGCCCAACCGAGCCGGTGATCGTTGCCACAGCCAGGAAAGTGTGTGTGGTTCGTACGCCTCTTCTTGGTTGGTTTAAATTAAGGACTATTAGCCAACTCCCTTAGGTGAACTGTCAGTGGTTCACCGATCCGGTAATAGCCCCTGGTATTGGCTTTTCGTCCTCTCACTCTAATGGGGAAAACACCTTCTCTTCCACGAGAAGGCAGTGAGTAGGGCTTCCTCAGCAGAGAGGCTTGGTCGTATGACAGCATTTCGTGAGGTGCAAGGGTAGGGTTGTGACCAGTCACAACCCAAGACAGCCACCCTCGATCATACTGGGGCTTTCGGAGGTACTTCGAGCAAACAATCAAAACGAGCAAACAGTTCCTAATATCACATTTCCGGACCACGAACAAAAACAACTCTAACCTCCTCTGGTCCTTTTGTATCAGGTTAGAAACATCAGTAAGACAGAATCTGGATATAGTACCGTTCGTTGATGATGGGGCACTTTTTTAGTCTAAACGTTATTGCATAGTCCCCTCGTTGTCACTGGCCTGTTCTTGTAATACATTGCCCAGTCCAATGCCAGACTAAGGGTATTGTTTCTCATAAAAATGGAACACATATGGAGGGGCACATTGAAAAACAATGAATAAAACAAGCAATTTAAACTGGCATATTACCTTCCCCTGATGATCAACACCTTCGGACTGGTAGTCAAGCGATCACTTTGCGTGCTTCAAAGCTCGAACATGGAATTTGCTAGGCGAGGATATTATTCTTGCCTAAAACTTGGCTACTTTTGGAGAATTTTTAAATAATTTGAATGCGTTCCTTTTCGCGCCATTTTGGGCCTCTCCATCCACGCCCATTTTCTAATCGATGACTGTTTAATTCCGTAAATTATCTAATTTTTTGCATCAATTCTCAAGGTTTCTACTTCCTGGGAACCGGAACAGTATATGAACAGACAACTTGCCGCCGTGATTCAGACTTCCTTTTGTGTGTCAACCACTCGTTTGTCGCTTGCCACCCATGTTGTCAGTTTTAGAGCTGGGAGAAGACTACTAATATTATTAGTGGCGTGTATTATTGTGCTGTGGTCGTAATTTCGGGGCTAGACGCCTATCGTGGTCACTGAGGTGTGCGCTGGATAGTGTTCGGACCGACATCATATCTGTGCTTGTTCTCTCGCTCTGTGACATCGTGCACACTGTCCGTGGGTGTCCAATCTGTGTTCTCGTCCACCAATGCTGAGTGTCATTGGTGCTAATATATATTGGATTCACTGAGTAACCTGTCAGGGGAGTGTTGTGTGCGCGCTTTTGTGAGCGATATTACGCTTCCAACCGGGATCGATTGTGACACAGTGTTAAGATGACATGGGAAAATGGCAATTTATTCATATGACTATTGTGCAATTCAAATGAAAGATGCCTTGTTTTAACACTTAATTGAACATCCAACATTCGATTGCGTGTGAATATACTTATTATCTTAATCAAGATAAGACCACCAGGCACGGTGCGTTACAGCGTGCAGCCCAGCCGAACCGATCCCGTACAACAACAATTAACCAGCAAAAGTATGAATAAATGCAGATGGTGAAAAAGCTCAAGAAGCCGAAAGTCCATGAAATAGAAAATCATGTTCTAAAACTGCTGTGAAGCAACTATTGCACCTGAATAATTCTTAATGCTCTGACCGCATTTGCCACTAACTTGTAACGCTTGGAAATTGTGTCAGTAACAGTTTATCGCGAGCGCTTGTATCCCACCGTAACTTCAGGGTCTATGGCGTTTTGTATAATTGCTGGCTTATCGTAAATTCTGATCTTCACAGGACTTGTCTGTCACCGTTTCCTCACAGTCCCTTATCATCACCACTCTTACTATCAGAACGAGACTGTAACTTGACATGGTGTGATGCCTTGTGCGCCTGTGACCCAACGAGCTATACAGGATGGCTTTTGTCAAGCCAGAAAATCTTATCATGTCAATTGATAGAGGTGAAACAAAGTCCAGTCCCCTGGTCCTTCAGGTTGGGGGTTCGGTTAGAATTTGGGTTTCAGTCGATAAAAAGTGGCGGAGGAGTAATTGATCTAAGTAAATGGGCCCCCACTTCGCTTCACTCGATGCCTTGCTATTAGGTTCTTGTCAGAACTAAAGGCTTTCGACGAGAACCCTAATCGTTCTTCTGCTTAGTAGTACCCGTCCACCAAACCCTAATGCATACACAAACTATGCACTGTGAGTTTGGCAGCGATCAGTGAAGTTCGCTTCGCTGTATTTCGCTGCACGATGGTGATGATGATGATGAGTTTTTTATCCCGATCGCCCCGTTGTCCTTATCACCGCTCTCCGGTCGTCTCATCGCCCGCTTAGCTTCATATCGTCTTCGATCGCGAGAACATGAACTGGGATATTTTCAGTCGCGCATCTGTGTTTAATCTGCTGCGATTGGACAGTGCGTTCGCAAAACGGCATCGTCTGTTGTGTCACGCTCGTTAGCGCACAATCGTTCAATGGGAGTAGTACGCAAAATAATGCGGTTTGTGGTTTCTTTCAACGATTAAAAATTAATAAAAACCATTTACAGTAAATTGCTGTGCTTCAAAAAATAACTACGAATTGTTCCATTCATAACCCTATGTGTTGGCGGTATTGTGATGACATTTCAAATGAGATATGCTGGTATGCCAAATTATCGATATGTTAACTGTAATCCATAATAAATTGTTGTGTTCGGTCTATAAGTACGAACAACACGGGCGACTATTGCTTAACCTCCAATAATAACGCGGAGAGAGACAACAGTCAATGTGTATTCATCAGTTAGATTTCGATACGCAATATACAGAACAATCACGGATACGAGAACTGCGCCTAGACATCCCAGTCAAAATGCGTCCTTGGCATATCGATTGATCGATCCAGTCGGGCTCAGTCTGCCTGGAGTGTTGTGAGCGTGCGTGTTGCCTGCCTCGGATGTGACGGTTTGTTTGAGCTCCGTCTTAGTATAACTATCAACGACCAAGTACCACCTTGTGGAATTATAACAATATTACAAAGTGATACATTGAACAGTTATGTTGCAGCTATAACAATAACGTCTATAGGCATAAAGCCTACATTTCAGTTGAAGGTGTACAAATTAGAGAGAGAGGGAAAAAAGTTGATTCCCAAAACTGTTGACAAAGTCTGTGAAAACGTGTTCTTTATTAACTAGAATACGTGCCAAAGAAGGCACCGTAGAGTTAGGATATGTTTATTCGAGAGGGAACAACGGTATTGGGATCTAGCTGAAGAATGGGAACAACAGGAATTTAAATATGTAACGGATATGTAGGGTGCTAAAAAGGGGTTTCCCAGCGTGGGTTCGGATCCCATCCCCATCGCCAAATCAGTTGTGTACTGACTGTTGCTGAGACTGCTATCGCACCACCAACTTCCGAGCCGAAGAAGAGAACACAATTAAAATGGCACAGGACAGTATATTAGAGAAAAAAGTGTCTTCCTTTTTTGTGTCGTCCTTGCGCGTTAGCATTTGTTCTTTTTTATTGCGTCCGGTGCGTTCTGAACGTTCGATATCAATTGACCAATCAGAAACGTCGTACCGTCCGGTTGGTTACGCGGTCTGACCAATCAGAAAACGTAGCACCGTCCGTGGTGAAATACAGTGATCGATCATTTCGGGCCGGAGGCTCACCCAGCTGCGGCTTTTTTCTTTCTCAATTTGACTGTAATTGCTCTCTGCTGGTGTTAAGGATCGTGCGGCGTGTGCGATCGCCTTTTGTGTACCGTCCGGGAATTCGTGGGCTATGACTGCTCCCACTCCGCGTCAGTTGTGAGAATGACCGGTACTCTGGGATCAAAGTGTGTCAGCAAGAGTTCGGACTGTAGTATTTGTTTCACTTGCTCGAATACACGCTGACAGTCGCTTGACCATACCCATTTGGTTTCCTTGGTCAGAAGCTGGTTGAGGGGTTTACGCAACCGGTGCATAGCTGGGAGGAAGGTACTGTAATAACTGATTAATCCGGGGAATGACTTTAACTGGGGTACATCGGATGGTGGAGGCATTCCCACAATGGGTGCAATGTTGGTGGGGTTAGGTCTGCGGCCATTTTTATCGATAATAAAACCAAGGTACCTCGCAGAATTCAGGAAAAACTCACATTTTTCTCGTTTTAGTCGGAATCCATAGTCGACAATTCTTTGCAAAACAGCGTCTATTAGGGAGAGTAGCTCTTCTTTTGTCTGACCGACAATTATGATATTGTCTAAATACGCCGCAGCTACGTCAATACCACTGAGCATAGTATCCATAATTTGCTGAAACATCACTGGTGCTGTTTTCACCCCAAAAGGCAAACGGGTATGCTGAAAAAGTCCGCGATGTATATTTATGGTCAGTAGGTGTTGGGATTCCTCGGCGACTCCAACTTATAAATAAGCGTCTGATAAGTCCAATTTGGCAAAGCAACTACCGCCATTCAGTTTTGCGAAGATATCGTCAGGGAGCGGTAATGGGTGTTGGTGATCGTCCAATGCGTCATTCAAACCAGTGGACAAATCAGCACAAATACGGACCGTCCCATTTGGCTTCTTCACGACAACAATCGGTGCGGCCGAAGAAGAATAGTTGACCAGCTTCAGGACTACAGAATCTTCTAGGCGTTTGAGTTCCGCATCGACGGCGGGTAAAAACGGCATATGGCACTGGTCTTTTCGGTCTGAAAACCGGTTTGACGTTCGACTTTAAGTGAATGACTATCTTTACTTTCGCGCAGCAGCCCAAGCCTTCTGTAAAAACCACAGCGTACTGCATCAAAAGCAAACTCAGTTTGAAGCGGCACAGTTGCATTTGACAGAAACACTGACGCAGAAACTGGGAGTTCAGTCATCAAGTCAAGTTCCAGATTCAAATCCAGTCGGCGTGATGGTCAACAGCATCACGGAGTTCCATTTTGAACCTGATGTTGGCATTTTTCGAGTCGTGATTCAAACGACACGCAGATATTTTCAAATTCGAACAGAAGAACTAAGATGATGCATGGAGAGTGAGGTTGCCGCTGAGGAAACTTCGTACCACTGAACACACGCGCTACACTAATTTCATTTTACCGCGATTTCACCGTTGATGAAAATGTCAAGCAATTGTCAGAAATTTTCGATAAGCGTTCGTCCTTGCTCAATCTTTGTTACCACTGCATGAAACTGGCCAAACAAGAAGACGAGGATTTTATCACTTATGTCGGTAGAGTCAATCTTGAATGCGAACAATTCAAGTTATCTACAATGACAGAGGATCAGTTCAAATACCTGATTTTCGTGTGGTCTCCAGTCCCATTCTGACAGTGATTACAGAACGTCATTGTTAANATCTCCCGATATAACGTTGCAAGAGGTCACTCGTGAGTGCCAACGTCTCATGAATCTCAAACACGACACAAACATGTTGGAGCACCCATCATCCAATAATCCTTTTCATGTGGCGCAAACATCTTCCAAACAGCCTGATAAAGTAACTGGACCTGCAAGAACAAAGCCTCTATCAGCTTGCTGGCAGTGCGGTGAGTGGCACTTTGTGAAAGTCTGCCCTTACAAGAAACACAAATGTACGCTATGCAATGGTCGTGGCCATAAAGAGACACAATGCCGAACCAAAAGGTACAACAGAACGGTCAGCCGCTACAGCAGATCACAAAAACCTCAACCCAAATTCAACGCTGTCTTTGCCACAATCGAACCAAATTTCCAGCTACGTCGGAAGTACGTGACGGCCAAAACAAGCAGAAAAAAATTTCGTTTGCAGCTCGATACGGCCTCCGATATCCCACTGGTATCTAAACGTACTTGGAAGAAAATTGGCTGCCCAAGGTACACACCAACAATCAACACGGCCAGAAACGCCTCAGGAGGTAAAATCAATTTACTTGGTGAATTCGAGTGTGAGATGGCAAACGAAGTCGTGGATCAATCTTTTTAGTCGATTGTGAATTGGATTTGCTTGGTATCGATTGGATCGATCGTCTGCAACTTACACATATGACAATCGACGAGCTATGTTCATCCACACCAAACCAAGTTAAGAAAGTGGATAAATCAGCGCAACCAGATGCGAACACTATCTTGTCCCTCCAAAACAAGTGCATTCCGACGGATAAGATTGACCAAGCAGATGCCCTTTCCCAGTTGATCAGTCCCCACAACCAGGAACCGGAAGAAGCAGTTATTGCATAAACCGCTTTGGAACCTGAAATCAAAGTAGTTGTCCAAGAAACAATCCAACATCTACTGGTTACCGATGACATGGTTCGGGAGGCCACCAGCAGCGACAATGTGTTGCAACGAGCGATCTACTACCACCAGTCACATTGGTCGTCTGTTTGTCCACCCGGAGAACTGCGACAACTGTTCCAACGTCGAAATGCACTATCGATCGTTGACGGTTGCCTTCTCTTTGTCGATCGAGTGGTTGTCCCGAAAACACTCCGCTGCAAGATTTTGACCCAGTTCCATAAGGAACGCCCCGGAATAAACCGGATGAAAGCTCTCTCCCGAAGTTATGTTTATTGGCCCAATGTGGATGAACAAATGGAGAGGATATGTCGAAGCTATCTTCAGTGTGCCGCTGCATAAAAACTACCCAACCGACAATCACCACAACTTTGGCCGAGACCAGAAAAGCCATGGGTTCGCCTCCATATTGATTTTGTTGGACCGATCAATGGTCAGAGTTTCCTGGTTGTTGTCGATGCTTTCAGCAAGTGGCCAGAGATTTTCTTCATGCGAGATACTACCACAACGGCAACAATTTCAAAGTTACGCCATTTGTTTTCCACTTTCGGTGTTCCGGAGACGCTTGTGTCCGATAATGGCAGTCGGTTCACATCACAACAATTCTCCGAATTCATCAGAAAACTGGGTATCACACACATTACCTCCCCTCCGTTTCACCCGCAGTCAAACGGACAAGCGGAAAGATTCGTCGATCCCTTCAAACATGCACTGACCAAGTCCAAGGGGGAAGGGACAACGGAAGAAATTTTGGACACGTTCTGGTTGAATTACCGGGCTACACCGAATCCACAGTGCCTGGACCACCGTTCTCCCGCAAGTCTTGATGAACAGGCCATTGAGATTAACGCACGACGCCATTCGACCAAGTAACACCAACCCATATACTGAGTCAAAAGATGTAGCAGTATTCCAACCAGGAGATCGCGTGCTCGTCAGAGATTACCGCCCTGGTCACGCGAACTGGACCGTCGGACACATCCAAAAAGAATTGGTCGTGTGATCTACAATGTCCGAGTGGGTACTTTGCTTTGGAGGCGGCACATCAACCAACTGCGTCGAACACAGTGTCCAGTTCCTATAAATCGAGGGAGCTCACTAAACATCGATCTGCTACTGGAAACTTTTCATTTGAAGACATCCCCAT